TCTATCTCTCTCTGGTTAAAGAAATGATAGTAACAAATGGAATTAATCAAATAAATAAATATTTTTTAAAATAATAATTTTGAAAGAAAAAGAATGACAGAATCTGAAAAAGGGACTGAAAGTTCATTTAGGGGCATGCATGACTGTTAGCAGATTAAAACACTTCTGGTTAGAAGGCCTTTCAATGGTAAACTTAGGATAATTTTAAACTTTCAAAGAAGTCTAGAATGCTTTAGTAGAGTGAAACTCTCCTGGGCCAGCCAGGCAGCGTGGTGGTTAAGGCAGCTGGATCTCACATGGCTAAGTACTAATTCAAGTCCCAGACCTGCTAGTATGGAAAACACTCTGAGTGTGCGTACATGTGTGCCAAAAATGACGAGGAGAATGGAGAAGGGATCGGAGCCTGACCATCCCCCTCAGACGGTGACTTCTCACTTTCCCTCTATCTCTCTGGCCAGTGCACGCACCCTATAGCAAAAACTAAAACAAAAAACAACTCTGCCAACAGGTGAGGAGTACTGTCAATAGTACAACTGATGTGCATGAGTTTTTACAATCATTAGTTCCACACTTAAGGAGGAAAAAATTAAGGCAAGGAGCTATAGGTGACACTACCCCAAGGTACCTCAGAAGAAACAGGGTGACACCTCGGCCACACAGACTAACTTGCACCTATTAAGGTGATCACTATCTACAATCTGCTCGCTCAAATGAAGGAACTTTCATCTGGGCTTCACTGACCATGGACCTGAAGGCTGACTGGTCAGACGCTCAGAGTGGCTGCTCTTCTACCACGTCCCACACCATGCGCTGCAGAGGCACATTCAGAAGAAACAGAACTGAACTTCATTCCATCTTCCTTAGAGCCTCACAGCCCCTGTGAGCAACTGTGTGGCTTTCTGGTAAGCTTTCTTTCTTTTTTTTTTAAAAGAATTATTTTATTTAACTTTATTTATTTATTTTTAATTTGATCAGGGGGAGAGAGAGAGAGAGAGAGCGTGTGCAAGCAAGCCGCCAGGTCCGGGGCTCAAACCGCGGTCGGCTATGTGGGAGTCCAGCATCCTTAACCACCACACCACCTGCTGGCCCTGCTTTCCGGTAAGCTTTCTAAAGAAAGAAGTGCAACACTTTCTACCTCTACAAGTGAAACACCCAGATAAACAAGGCATAAGGCATTACTGGATGCTACCGGACTGAGGAGAAACAGAAGCCCATTAATCTCAATCCGCCCCTTCATCAGGTCCCACTATCTATGAAGAATGAAGTAAGGTTACCCATTCGCAAATTCCAAATGAAAAAGAAAATCAAACCAAAGCCAAAACACCACCTGAAAACTCAATCAAGTAGTTTTCACTCAGGAATTTCCTTCAGAAACAGAATGTATAGCTTCCTGCTTCTATCCAGTTCCTTAGTTAGGGTGTGGTCACTGGGTCCTCTCCCTAGTAACCTCAAGTCAGTGACCCAATGCCTAGCTGAAGGGCTTTAGCCAATAGGGCCTGGGACCTGGCCTACCCAGGTAGCCTGAAAGATGGTTATGGAACCAGTACCACTCATTCCCACCTGGGTTTTGCTTTCCATTCCATTCACAGCTAGCTTCTACGTTATGATCAAGCTGCCCAAGAATGGCATTTGATCTAGGGCAGAGTTCCTCGAACTTTCAAAGTGGACACAAGTCCCTTGCAAGCTTTCATTCTGGAGGTCTAGGTAGAGCGTAGAGACTGTTTCTACAAGCTCTTCAATGATGCCCCTCCTGCTGGTCTATGGCCCACACCCTGCGTAGCAAGGCTCCACACTGTGTGCTCCTCACATCTGCAGCAGGTGACTATCCTGGGACACATCTGCCTTTTCCCTCCCTCACCAGGCTTTGGCCCTGCTGCCCTAGCTCAACTTCCCCATTAAAGATACTGCCAAGTTTCACTGTGTTTCTAGAGGGGAACAGTAACAAGACAACCTGAAGGTCATTACATTTGGTATTGAAATACATGTTTTTTCAACATTTTAAACTTTCCAGTCACACAGAAAACAGGCATTGAGCCAACAGTGGGCCCAGAATCATGATGCAAACACTCCAGAAACGTTTTGCCAGTCATGATCTATTTAGTTACCTTCAAGGTTTGCTGTGGCTCAACCTTTTTTTTGAGAGAGAGATTTTTGCTATAGGGCATGTGTGTTCACTGGAGAGACAAGGGAGACAGAAAGCGAGAAACCAAACCCAAAGGAAATGGCTAGACTGCAATCCCTTCTCCTCTATTCTTCTCTCAGGACTCTGGGCCAGAGTTTCACCTGGTGTGAGTTTCAAGCCACTGGGTCCGGGACTCAAACCATGGCTGACCATGTGGAAGTCTAGCACCTTAACTATTCTGCCACCTGCTGGCCCCAGCTGTGGCTCAATCTTGGCAGATATCTCTAACTCCACTTTGTGTAGTTTCTTCTGGAATCCTTTTAGATTTTCTGCCTGTCTGACTCTTTAAGAATTTGTTACAGCTTTTACAAAGGGTAATGGTAAAACCTATATATGGTATTCCAGATGTTGAACCATCATTATTAAGCAAAATGTCCAATTACCTCCCATCTAGTAAGCATATATTGGCTGAGACAACAGAAGAGGCTGGGCACTCTGTCTGTTCCAGGATTAAACATGTTCCCAGGCAAACAAGACAGTCTCTATAAACCTAAGTGGGAAGACAGACCCACGAGCAGCCATCCCCACTCATTGTGTGCCAATACATTGTTTTTCATTGTACATTTATACTCAATGAGGATGAACTGAAAGAATCATTATTCGTTCCCAACTTGTGCTGCTGTTGAAATGATAAAGTCTCTGAACAATAGTCTTTTCTGTACTGCATTTTAAAGACTACCCTCTAAAAATAGCCACCAAGGGACTCCAGGATTCTACTGCTCTCCCTTACAAATTCAGTGTGGAACTCCCACGGCAGCACAGATAAGGCACATCCTTCTATCCCTCCCTCTTGCACAAACATACCCAGTTTAGGGACGGGCTGTGGGTGTTCACCACCTCACCCAGTTTAGGGACGGGCTGGGCTGTGTATCCCAGAATGGTAGCTTCGCTTGCTAGCCTCCTCCATGGTTTTGGCAGGTCCTTGGCCCACTGAAAACAGTTCAATGGCCTTCTGTATTTCCTGGATCCTCTCTGCTGGCAAAGAGTTCATCTGGGCAAGAAAGAGTTGGGGAGAGAAAAGGTCCATTATGTTAGTAAGACTTTTGATTAATTATTAGTTCAAGAGTTAAGGGGTAGAACCCAAAGGGGCGTGGCTCCTCTGTCCTGATCCCAGCACTCACATACGGTACCACAGCTGGAGCAAGAGTGGCTGACAAAGAGCTATCTGATGAGTGGGTACTGCTCACAGGGCTTCCCCCCTTTTATTTGTGTTATATGATGGCCAAAGTAACACAGGTTCAGAGTAAAATGTCAAATAATGCAAAAATGTATAAGTCATAGGAAGGAGAAGCCCAGCAACTCACACCTCAAATATAATCCTTACCATCAACATCTTAACTTGGGATGATGAGAAGCAGCAAATATAATTCTAGAACTTTTGCATCCAAATTCCAAACGCACACATATACTTTTCAGAAACTAAAATGGAATATTGTAGTATTTCATAAAATGTTCTTTTTAAAATTTTGCCAGAGCATGTGTGTGCGGTCATGAGAGAGACAGAAACAAACAGAAAGGGAGAAAGCAACTCCAGTGGCATGTGGTCTTTCGACAATCCCTTCTCCATTTCTCTTTCCTGCTGGGATATAAGCTGGCAGGTTAAGGATTAAAATTGTGCAGTTGGCCACATGGATCCAGCTCCCTTAACCACTGGACCACAGGGTCAGCATGTTTGCTAACTGGGATATATATTTCAGCAGGGTTAAGGTTTTTTTTTTTTAATTTCAATTTATTTGTTTGCATTCATTCACTGTACATCATTACAGCATACAAAATGAGATTTGCCATCCAGAGTACACTGTATACTGTCTCAATCAAGCACATCAACAAACATGTTATTGTCAGCAAATGATCTTCCATTTCTTGTTTTCTGTATGTTTTGCTTTTAGGATTAAGTTTAAGAAAGAGGTTTGCTGCTGCATGCATGCTTTGAAAAGCTATATAGTACCCCACAAAGAAGCACAACAATCAAATGTAAATAAGATATTATAAAAAAGAGAGAGAGGCTGTCAAGTGGTGTGGTAGTTGAGGTGCAGGATCCCCCATAGCTGACTGCACAGTTTGAATCCTAGACCCAGTGGCTTTTAAAACACACCTGGCTCACGTGCGTGCATGCCCAAAATACTGAGAGAACAGAGGAGAAGAGACTGAAGTGTGGCCATCCTCCCTGGAGGATGATTTTTCACTTTCTCTCTTTCTCTCTGTCTCTGATAACCCAATAAACAGTATATGAAAGCATCTGTTTCTCCAAACCTTTATTAGATTTACCAAATCATTTTTTCTTTCTTTATTTTTTTAGAGAGAAATTTTTTGCTACACAGGACGTGTGCCTGCTGGAGAAACAGAGAGAGAAAGTGAAATCATCCCCCAGGGGAATGGCCACACTACAATCTCTTCTCCTCCATTCTCCTCTTGGGATTCTGGGAAGTGCTTGCCATGTGAAGTCCAGCACCTTAACCACTCTGCCACCTGCTGGCCCCAGATTTGCCCAGTCTTAATCTCTGCCAATCTAGGGGAAAAAGTATTGCTTTTATTCTCATTTCTTTCACTGTGAATTTAATTATCACTCATTAGTAAAACAATATTTTCAATTTTTTTTGAGAGGTTTTTGCATACACTCGCCAGAAAGAGAGAAACAGAGAGACAGAAAGCAAGAAATCACCTCCCAGTGGGGATGGCCATGCCGCAATCCCCTCTCCATTCCCCTCTCAGAATCTTGGGCATGCACACACATGTGCCTGGCGTGAGTTTAAGCCACTGGGTCTAGGACTCGAACTGTAGTTGACTACATGGAAGTCCAGCGACATAGCCATTACACCAACTGCTGGTTCCCACTAATTTTTCTTTATGAATCACCTCATTTAATTATTTACAATTGATGGATACATGTACTGCAGATATTCTCTGTTCAGCTTGCCCCCTTTAAAAAAATTTTTATTTATTTATTTATTTTTTTTGGGGGGAAGAGATTTTTGCTATAGGGCGCGTGCGCTCGCCAGACAGAGAGAGATATAGAGACAGAAAGCGAGAAATCACCCCCTAGGGGGGATGGTCACGCTGCAATCCCTTCTCCTCCATTCTCCTCTTGGGATCTTGGGCATGCACGCGCACACGCCCGGCATGAGTTTTAAGCCACCGGGTCTGGGACACGAACCACGGTTGACTACGTGGGAGTCCAGCAACATAGCCATTACGCTAACTGCTGGTTCCCTTTAATTTTGTTATTACTTAAAAAAAAAAAAAAAAAAAAAAAAAATTGGCCAAAGAAACAGAGAGAAAGAAAGGAAAAGTGAGAAAGCAAGCTATCAGGTCTGGGACTTGAATCACAGTCGGCCATGTGGGAGTCCAGTGCCTTAATCACCACATCACCTGCAGGCCTCAGCTTGCCTTTTATTAAAAAGTTTATTTTCTTTCTTTCATGAGAGTGAGACAGACAGACACAGACAGGTACCCTCAACAGGAACTTGCTACATTGAGACCCTCCCTAACCTCCCAGCCAGCCAGGATCATGGGCTTGCCTGACATATTCAGGTCAACCTGGGATCCAACTCCAGGCCTCACATATGGCTTCAGTATTGTAGTGGCACCGTTCCATCTGCACCATTATGTCTAGGTCTATTTATCTTTTGATTTTAAGAAAAGGCTTTTGAAGTGTCAGTTTGGGGAATAGCCTGTGGCTTGGCAGTTAAGGAGGCTAGATCCCATATGGTCAACTGCATGGGTCAAGTCTCAGAGCCACCAGCTTGAAAAACAGGCTAGGTACATGTGCATGTGTGTCCAAAATCCAACAGCAAGGAGAAATGGAGGAAAAGAGGTAAGAGTGTTACCACGGCCCACAGGAGGTAGAGGTAACTTTCTTGTTTTCCCTCTGAGTATATGTGCCATCTGACAAAATTTAAAGAAAAATTGTGGAACCAGTTGGTGACATGGTGGTTAAGGCAGCTGGATGTGCGCATGGTCAACTACGCAGTTCTAGCCTCAGACCCATCAACTCAAATTCAGACACACTGTGTGCATATATGCTCAAAATCCAAGAGAAGAATGGAGAAGGGGCTGCAGTACAGCCATCCTCCTGGGGGGTGCTTCGTCACTTTCCTTCTCTCTGTATCTCTAGTAAGTACACATGCCATCTAGCAATTTTTAAAAAAGGGAAAAAAAAGTTTTGTCAACTTTTATTCTATGGCTTCTGGGTCTTATGGCAGTCTTTAAGATGATAATACCACTCATATTTTCTTCTAACACTTCTAACACTTTTGCTTCCCCCTCTTCAGATTGTGAAAGAAAGATATTATGTCTATATTGCTTATTTTTGGGAGGTGGGACTATAAGTGATTTTAATTTTCTTCCTCTTTATTTTATCTTATTTTATTCCCAGAGAGCATGTATACTCGGCAGGAAGAGAGGAGAGAGAGAGAGAGAAAGAGAGAGAGAGCCCTTAATGTGGTGTGATCACACTACAACCCTTCTTCCTCTATTTTGCCATCCTACAAGGATTTAGGGCATACATGCACACGTGCCTGGCATGTTTCTCAAGCCTCTGGGACTGGATTCATACTGCAATTGGCCATGTCAGATCTAGCTCCCTATGCACAATGCTTAACCACTGCACTGCAGGGCCAGCCCTTGATATGCTTTATTTTTAAAATAAGGTATTTTTTTTTCTTCTAGAGAGATTTTTGTGCTATAGGATGTGTGCGTTCACCAGAGATACAGCGAGACAGAAAGTGAGAAATCAGGCCCTGGGAGGATGGGGACACCACAATCTCTTCTCCTCCATTTTCCTCTCAGGATTTTGGACATGCATGCACACTGGCCCGGCATGAGACTGAAGCCACTGGATCTGCAACCTGAGCCGTGGTCGACTATGTGGAGTCCAGTGACATAACTGCTATGCCATCTGCTTGTCCCCAATTTTTTTTTTAATTGCTAGAGAGTGAGTACACTCATTACCAGCAGTTGGCATAATGGCTACATTGTTGGAATCCCATGTAGTCGACCGCAGTTTGAGTCCCAGACCTGGTGGCTTAAACTCACGCTGGGCGTGTGTGCATGCATGCCTAAGATCCTGAGAAGAGAATGGAAGAGAAGGGATTACAACGTGGCCATCCCCCCTGGGGAGTGATTTCTCGCTTTCTGTCTCTCTGTCTCTGTCTTTCTGGTGAGCACACACGCCCTATAGCAAAAAACCTCTCTCAAAAAAAAAAGGAAGTGAGTACACTCATGAGACAGGGCTGGGAAGGGGAAGCAGAGAGAAAAAGTCCTCCTCAATAAGGCATGCCAAAATCCCTTCTCCATTTCTCCATCTTGTGGGATTCTGGGCAAGAATGCATACACGCCAAGAATGTCTTTCAAGGTAAGCTTCTAGGGCTGGGACTGGAACCATGGTAGGCCATGTGGGATCTGGATCCCTTTAGCCACCAGCCTATGTATGGGGCAGACCTGAAATAAACCCTCTACAATTAACTGTGCTACTCTTACAAAGAAGAAAGTAGATTTTGTTAAACGCTCTAATTCAGTGAACTACTTGGACGTATGCTTGAGCTTAGACCCCTGTGGAGGCGTCTCTATACCACTTCCAAGGACAGTCAGTGTGGCTCCCTGAAGCCAAAGCAGAGCTTGGGTTTGAGCTCCCGATAGACCTAGGTACATCACCTGTCATCTTTAAAACGGAAAGACTCCAACCTACATATAGGAATGGTAATGGTTTGGGGCTAACTTAAATGAAGTGCTTGGCAAGAGCCTACCCAACATGGTAAGTCAACAATGGTGGTACTGGACCAGCAGTTGGCATAATGGCTATGTCGCTGGACTCCCATGTAGTCGACTGCAGTTCAAGCCCTGGACCCAGTGGCTTAAACACACTCCAGGAGCATGAGAGTGCATGCCCAAGATCCCGAGAGGAGAATGGAGGAGAAGGGACTGCAGTGTGGCCACCCCCCCTGGGGGGAGATTTCTCACTTTCTGTCTCTCTGTCTCTTTCTGTCTTTCTGGCAAGTGCACACGCCCTATAGCAAAAACATCTCTGGAAAAAAAAACAAAACAATCCTTAGCCATTCCTCTGGGTTTCATGCCAGTGTGCTGGTCTTAGCTTATAAGCCTCTGACCAGAGGTTCTCAACGAGTGAAAACTCAGAAACAGACACTGTGGGGCTCATGGTCTTTACTACAATGATTATGTCATTAGAAGTAGGCTTGTGTGGGACCAGCAGATGGTGTGAATGGTTACGTCATTGGAATCCCAGGTAGTCGACTGTGGTTCAAGTACCAGGCCCAGAGGCTTAAAACTCACACCAGGCGCATGTGCCCAAAGTCCTGAGAGGAGAATGGAGAAGGGATTGTGGCATGGCCATTTCCCCCACCCCAAGGGTGACTTCTCATTTCTGTAACTCTGTCTCTTCGGTAAGCATATATACCCAGAGCAAAAGTAAAAAATCTCTCTAAAGAGACCAGCAGATGGTGTAATGGTTACATCACTGGACTCCCACAAAGTTGACCATAGTTGGAGTCTCGGATCCGGCGGCTTAAAACTCATACTGGGTGCATGTGTGTGCATGCTCAAAATCCCAAGAGAATGGAAGGAGGACAGAGGGGAAGGGACTGTGGTGTGGCGATCCCTCCTGGGGGGTGATTTCTCCCTTTCTGTCTCTCTGGCAATCGCATGCACCTTATAGCAAAAATCTCTCCAAAAAAAAAATCCCCTCTCTCTTAAAAAAAAGCTTTGTGGGCCAGTAGGTGGTACAGAGTTTGGAGAGGCTGCATCACACACAGCCAATTGTATGGTTCAAGTCCTAGACCTGGTGGCTTGAAAAATATGCCAGAGGCACGTGGCATGGTGGTTAAGGCACTGGACTCCCACGTGGCTGACTACTGTTTGGGTCACGGACCTGGTGGCTTGCTTTCTCACTTTCCTTCTCTCTCTCTGGCCAAATTTAAAGTAATAATAATAATGGTAACAAAATTAAATAAATAATTCTAAGAAAGAAAAAAATGAAAAAATAATCTGCTGGGCACATGTACATACATGCCCAAAATTCAGAGGAGAATGCAGAAGGGACTGCAGCGTGGCTGTCTTCCCTAGGAGATGAGTTTTCACTTTCTCTACTTCTGTCCTGCAAGCATATGCACCCAATAGCAAGGACTGGGGGGATAAAAGGAGTATGTTTGCAGAACCAGCCCTGTGGTCTAATAATTAAGGGGAGCCAGATCTCACATGGCCAACCACATGGTTAAAAATCCTGGTCCTACCAGCTTGTTAAACAAGTCAGCAGCGTGTACACGTGCCCCAAAAATCCTGCAAGGATGGAGAAATGGAGAGGCAACCGTGGTATAACCACATCCCACTGAGAGGTGTTTCTCCTTTTCCCTCTCTTTCTTTGGCAAGCATCCTTTGGCCAAAAGCAAACAAACAAAAAGAGTATGCTTACAGTAGGTAAATATCAGCCTTAAGATGAAGAAACCTTTTATTCTCTCAGAGGTGGAGACTTAAGATAAGAGGGCTGAAAACCACTGCTCCAGGCAACACAGGCTGTAAGCAGGTGATTACCCCATGGCACCTGGCACAGCTCCACATGCAGGGTGCACCTGTAAACCCTGAGGCACCAGGCTTGGGAGTCAGCATCTAACCTGCTGTGTCTTTTAAGGTACTAAGAGCAGTTTCGTCAGGTAGGGCTAGGGCAGCAGAGGACAGACAGCATTGGGATCCAACTCTTCCATCTTGAAGTAGAACCAGTAGAGACTGCTGTTCCTATACAGCTACCTCAGAACTCTCTCATCTGAAAATGTGAGCCGTGGTCACAAGAAAACAGAACCTCCTTGTTACCTTCACAGGCTGATCCTGGGTTGAATCCGTCTCACTGCCTTTTTCTTTCTTCTTTTTTTGTTTCTTTTTCTTTTTTTTGGCTCCAGTGTCATTGGCTGGACTCAAACCACTGTAAGACAAAAGCAAATACTGATGCAGAGTTTTTTTTTATTTTAAAAAATCATCTGTTTTGAGCTACACTGACAAAGGGCTTTCTGTGGAGCCAGACCTTCCTTAATCAAGTCTGCTGGCTTCAGTAGACTGGAGAATCCAGGTCCCAGAAGGGGTACTTGGAGGACACCAGCAAGCATTGCTCTCTTCCCCACTTCCAACATCAGCTTCCCAGGGAGGGAGTGCTGTGCAAGGAATATTTTATTTGTTTGAAAGAGACTTTCTGTTTTTGCTTTTATTTTATGTGCTTATTTGCTTTAGACTCAGGTCAATGGCACCAGATGCGAATGATAATTGTTAACTGGGCATATGAATTAAAAAGGATGATAGCCAAAAGGTAGTAGTGGTCTTTTTTAAATGCTTTGTCCACTCCACCTCCCCACCAGATAGATAGAAAACAGAGATTATTGGAAAGGGAGAAAGGGACAAGGAAAAAGGCAAGTTTAACAATGCTGCAAGGTCTATCCTGTGTAGTGGTGGCTGAGGCAGCTGGAACTCATACAACTGACCATGTGGTTCAAATCCTGGACCCAGCAGCTTAAAAAACATGCTGGGATGGGGCCAGCAGGTGGTGTGGTGGTTGGGGAGTAAATGGACTCCCACATGACCGACCACAGTTCAAGTCCTGGACCTGGTGACTTACTTTCTCACTTACCCTCTCTCTCTTTGGTCAAACTGAAAAAATAAACAAACAAACAAATAAATAGTTAAATTAAAAAGAAATGCTGGGTGCACGTGTATGCATGCCTAATATCCTGAGAGGAGAATGGAGGAGGAGAAGAGACTGTGGCACGGCCATCCCTACCCCCAGGGAATGCTTTCTCTCTCTACCTCTCTCCAATGAGTGCACATGTCCTATAGTAAAATTAAAAAAAAAAAAAAAGCTGCAATCTATGTTCAAAATAGCCTATCATGAGAAGTGCCTAAATCAGGCCTAGAAGATTGAAGACAACCATCAGCCAATTCATAACCACTGGCAAAGCCTGGTACTAGGAATCTTAGGAAAATAAAGCAACAAGAGTGCCCAGCTACTCCTGCATGGATAGATTACATAAAACGCCTGTGTAGGGTAGTCAGCAGGTGGCATGGAGTTGAGGCACTGGATTCCCACACGGCTGACAGCAGTTTAAGCCCCAGACCCAGTGACTTGAAAATCACAACAAATAAACAGATAAATAAATACATGTTTAAAAACAAAACCAAATACATGTGTGTGGTAAAGGAACTCCTTACACTGTTTTCCCTGTACATC